ACTTTTCTAATGAGCTAGCGCAGTTTGAAAAGATCGAGTCGCGCCAACTATGAGGCACACGCGAGCCGGAGTAAAGGAAAGTAGGCTTTTTCACGCAAAATTTCGAGAGCATTATAATTTACGAAACGTTACGTAAAGTCCCATTTAATGTTGCTCGAAAGCGTTTTAAAAGTTTGAAGATAAATATGAACGTTCATAAGAATGAATAAGGCATGATACGCTGTGGCTGTATATTTTTTTCTTTCTTTTTTTTTTTTTTTTTCATTATCCAAACATAATGAGCTGAGCATTAAAATTGAACGTATAGGGTATATAAGCCCTTAACTCAATTTCTTTCTCTTTGTTTTACAATAGAATATTTTATGAAGAATGGCGGAACGCGAGGACGTGGAAAAGTAAAGGCTACTTCATTATGCCATTGTGCGCATCCGCGCTGAATTAATGTTTAAATAGAGCGGTTATTATATTTGCCTCTCGCTTATAATTCGAATAACTGTCTAAGTTTGCAACTGACTGGATGAAAAAAGAATTGCAATTAATCCTGTTTGTATTGCAAAAGTTCTTTCGCACAGACGCTTTATATAATAATATAATAATGCGATATAACTATGCTTTTATATACATGATAATTTAATTTAAGATAAGCCAGCTCCGTGAATAATTAATGTTACAACATTATCCGTTGATTTACAACACCAGGACATATTAAGCATGGTTTTCCGTACGCTTACGCACGTACGTGTACGTTGAGAAAGCTTGGAAAGCAGCATCGCGTGGCTTGATTAATTGCAAATAATTCAAAAAGGTACGCGCGCGGATTCAGTTGTTTTATATAAGTGCTCGCACTGCTCGCGCGTCTTTATAAAATGTGCATTCGCGTGTCCTCCCTGTTTTACTCCATAAAACACGCCCTTTTCGTGTCTCGGATTGTATCGCGAGTCACGGTAGCTCAAAGGCGTATTTCGTCACAGCGAGAGCAAGAGAACTAGTGAACGCTAGTGAACGTGCGCCTGCCACCGAGAGAGAGAGAGAGAGAGAGAGAGAGCGGGAGCGAGAACGAGGCAGGGGGGAGGTAATAGATTTCTCGCCCACGCGCGCGCACGCACGCGTTCGGTAGCCATGTTTGCTTAGCGTGTTTATAAAATCTCCGTTGGGTAAAAAACAATCGTGCGGCTAAGAGTCTATAAAACCGGCATCATTGGGAAGGAAGGTACTTTGGCACGAGAAAGTAAAGAAATCTGTTACTGTATCGATTATGCCCATATGAAATATATTTTTTCCTCCCTTGGCATACGGTTTAACATATATGAAATTTATTCCTTGAACGCAACCTATAATGCTAGAACAAATCTTATTCTCGTATGACGTATTTGTTTTATTGCTAAAATTTATCGTTGCATTTCATCATCTTTTACTCTCTCTCTCTCTCTCTCTCTCTCTCTCTCTCTCTCTCTCTCTATTTATCTATCTATCTATCTATCTATTTATCTATCTCTGTATATTCTGTTTCTGTCTGTTCCTTTTGTATATTTAATGTTGTTATCTTCTATTTGCATTATTACTTTGGCTCAACTAGCTCTAATAAGTAATCTAAATATGAATCGATAAATATAACAACATGTATTTATCCGATGAATATTATGTAAGAAATTTGATGATTAATAGTTATATATATACATATATATATATATATATATATATATATATATATTTGATCGCGGGGGAAATATGCTGCCTTCTGACACTTTAAACGCAAGTTACATTATGAGCTTTCATATCCGACTTATCGATGTTAAATAAAATTAATACATTTTGCGCAATCCCTATGCTTTTAATAGACATAGCATGACAATATATAATCACATATTTAAAAACTATTCTCGCTTAATTTGAAAGATACCGCCCGACTGCACAACTTTCTTATTCATGAGAAATCTCCAGCATTCTAATATTTCAAAATAATGATAAATATAACGTTCTTCAATTATTTTCAACCGTGTAAAATTAATATTCGGCATGCAACGTCTTTTATGCAAACGACCGCACGAGCATACGTAAATTAATAAAAGATTTGTTTATATTTTGCCGAGTAAGCCAATATTACGGGTCAAGATTTTAAAGATTCGGGAAAACGGCACTAAATAACGACATCAGCGGGCATTGTGTCGTGAAAAGCCTTGCGGCGTTATTGATTTTGACGAAAATAATGATAAGACCGAGGGGGTTGAGCTGTTGTCGGAGATCCATCCGAGCGCCCACCGGCGTAACCCTTTTCATATTAGGTTTCGTATTAGGCACGCAGTACATACGTACACGTACACCAACGCGCGTATAAGGAAGTTTAATCGCCCTCGGTTTGCCATTCTCTCCTACCAAGGTGACGAAAATATCACGGTCGACGTTTTTCGGCTAACGAGCAAGCAAGAGTGGAGTTGCTGGAGTTGCTAGTGTTGGCGGAGGCGACGACGACGACTAGGACGACGACTAGGACGACGACGACGACGACGACGACGACGACGACGACGACGACGACGATAGCCACGACGTCAATGAGCGCGAGGAGGAAGGAAGAGGGGAGGAAAGAAGCGCTTAAGCATCGTACGGCATCGCGCATGGAGATTGGGCAGACTTTTTTTAAATAATTCTCGGGAAGATGAGTGACCGAGCCGTTATTTTCGTCTGCGCCCGTTCGGGGGAGGTCAGTCGAATAGGTGGAAAGGAAAGCGTTTGGGACGCCTCGTTTACACGCTGCAATGGGACGTATTGATTTATCGCGAATGCAACCGGCTGAGCGAGCGTTTGTGAAATGTTGTTGATAGAGAAAGTCAGTGTAGTCGATCTTACCGTGCCCCGTATGTGTACGAACGTAAGGAAGACTCATCATCACCGCGGCAATAATATATCAGCTCGTATGTTTTTGAAACGAAGCCCGTAGCATATTGCAAAAATTGTATTTATAGAGAGGCAATGCGTTAAGGTCACGTTCGATCGAAGGCGGAATTTCATGTCGATTAAAAAATAATTTTGTTGCGGCTAGGGGAGCTCATTCATCGAGCGATGATTTTCATTTTAATAAATAATGCTTTCTCTTAATGATATAGGAATAACGTTTCAATTCAAGACCGTCATTGAAACTAAAGTCAATCCCTTTGCACGGTATTATTGTAAGTGGGATCGACCCTATCTTATGTTGGAAAAGAAAAAAAGAAAAAAGAAAAAGAATGAAAGAAAGAAGAGGAAAAGAAGAAAAGAAAGAAAAATGAATTCTGCCTTTAACGGTATACTTATTAAAGTCGATTTAATTTAAAGTAATCGTCTATTGTTATATATAAAATGAAAAAAAAAGAAGAAAAAAGAAGAAAAAAGAACGATTGTACTTGGAGGTAAAGCCCTTTTATAATAAAATCCGGCAATTTCGATGTCGCGGTTATTGAATTTATCGATTTTAAGAATTTCGCCTTTATAATATCGGTTAGTACGTGATTAGTGTCTAGTCACCCAGCAGTCATCACCCTTCCTCTTACACTTACGTTGACATAAGCATTCTCTTTAACCTTTCTTTCAATAAATTAATCACGCTCGATGATTTATATTATTATTCGACGATCTAATAATTTCATCGCTATAATTAAATTGCGATAGCCTTGGGAATAGAATGAAAAAAAAAATGAAGAAAAAAAGTATAGATTGTCGAAGGATTGATAAAAATGTGTATTCGATTGATCGTGTGAATAATAGTTAACTAATAATTAGTGCCATTTTCATGCGCTACCAATTGAATTAAACTAACTGACTGACATACTTGTAAATAATAATAATTATGGTAAAAAGTTTGGAAACTTTACAAATTGAATTTTAGTTGATAATACATATAAACAAACAAACAAACAGAGAGAGAGAGAGAGAGAGAGAGAGAGAGAGAGAGAGAGAGAGAAAGAGAGAAAGACGCGCACGCACACACATCATGATAGCTATGATTAGGATATTCTTTATATTCAAATAAAATATCGATATACACTTTCTCCATCAATGAATTATTTTCATTTTTCATTTGTTATTTAAATTTGTTATTAAATGCAAGTAATTTTAATGAAATTATCGGACAATATTTCTTATAATTTCTACTTAATTTTAAATTGCAGTGTTTGAAATCGTATAATAGATAGTAAACTTTTTAATTGATAAAGGTAGCTGCTTGAATTCGAAGAACCTTTAAGAATACGAGATCAGCCCCGGGCATTTTTATCCGAAGAATAATCTTTAATTTCTAATAATTTCCTAACGATTAGGTAATTGCGCGTCAATTTAATATATGCGCAATATACAATTGTAATAATTTAAACAGAATTTGAAAATGTTATTATTGTGTGTTAACTCTTTGCGCTTAAAAGGAATATTTACTCTATTGCATATTCTTCTCCTATTCTTTACATCATTTTATTTTTATGTGTATAACCTGGCGATTTATAGATTTTTATAAAACTTTTAGTCATTATATCGTTAAGAATGTTGCTTATAAATTTTTCGTGCAATTGCGGTTATCGATAATACGTGCTTTACTACTCTACGCATCACATATAAAAGCCAAAATGACATTCTCTTAAAATTCCCCATTGTCGTTAAAATTAGTCGACTAACTTATCAAATTATTTGCCAAACTTATATAATCTGGAAATTTACGGCAAATCTATTCTACACTCTACGCTTATCGTCAAGCTTCTAGCTTTTTATCGACAAAACGCAATCGGTTTCACGAACACATTAACAATGCAAAATTCGTCCTTGCCTTCGGATAATATTCTGACGGTGTAACGATACCATTCCAATGCAAATCGAAATCTGCGATTTCGTATTAATATAAATGTCACGTCATCGTCATTGCCATTGTCATTGTCATTATGAAATTCCGAAATCAGAAATTCTAATTCGCGCGTGGCTGACCCTCCAATGCGAGATGTAACAGTGATTTAAATGAATGGCGTTAAAATTGGAAGACGAACCTTAATGAAGCAATCGTTGAAGGAAAGATTGTGCCGGAGCGAATTCTGCCATCGTCGCGTATCTTTCCGATAATATGGGAACCTGTCGGCTATAAACTTGTATATCTCGGCTAGCGGCAGCATCTTGTCCCTCGATGACCAAATGGCCATTGCCGTAAGAGAGATGTAGGAGTACGGCGGTTTCTGGTCGCCGTACGTGTCGCGCGAAGGTCGCGGCATCTTCGACGGCTTAACTCCCCGAGAATATCTTCGAGACCAGTGCTGGCGCTACGACCGCTACGTAGCTGCCCGATCACCCGAGGCTGCTGCATCTCGTGACGGTATCCGGGGCGCGTCTCCTCGTGCACATCGTCCTTGGATGAAGAAGAGTCTTCTTTTTAGGTCGCGGCACTCGTCGCGTCCTGAGCTCGTTCGCTATCTCAGGCTGCCCGCTCTCGACGCGCTTCGACTCTCCGGGCTGACAGCGTCCGACTCGTTTGCCCTGCCGACGGACTCGTCGTCACTTTTCCTGCGGATATCGCGCGCCAGCCAACCGACATATCGCTGGCCGGCTCAGCTCATGTTCCCGCCGCTGCCGCGAGGCCGTTAGTGTCCAACTCGGTGATTCCGATCAGTACAGCATCCTTCGTCTTTCTCCGACCTTCTCCTCCACCTCCTCGACCTCCTCAACCTCCTCAACCTCCTCAACCTCCTCCACCTTCTCCACCTCCTCCACCTCCTGCTCCTCCTCCTCCTCCTCCTCCTCCTCCTCCTCCTCCTCCTCCTCCTCCTCCTCCTCCTCCTCCTCCTCCTCCTCCTCCTCCTCCTCCTCCTCCTCCTCCTCCTCCTCCTCCTCCTCCTCCTCCTCCTCCTCCTCCTCCTCCTCCTCCTCCTCCTTCTCCTCCTCCTCCTCCTCCTCCTCCTCCTCCTTCTCCGACACCACCTCCTGCTCCTCTTGCTCTCTTTGCTTCTTCTGCTACTGCTGCTCTTGCTCCTGCTGCTCCTCGACCTCCCCCCGTTACTTCCTCTCTTTTTAACGACAACCTCACCGCACAAATGTCCCACAAGTAACTCCACAGTCCTTCGGCCAGCTAAACACTAATCACAAACCGATATTATTAAACACATGTCGCCGGCGACGACGACGACGACGACGACGACGACGACGGCGACGGCGACAGCGACGATGACAGCAAGGGGGACGTGGACGACTGCAAGGACGACGACGACGACGACGACGACGACGACGACAGCGACAGCGAGGACGCCGACAGCGACGTCGAAGATCAAGGAGGCCGCTACTATATAGTCTCGAACCTCCCGAGCGAGCGACTATTTAGTCGACCTCCGGGAAAACAGTGCCCGAGGATGAGAGATGTGCTGCGGCAGCGAGTCAAGGAGCGTTGCGGAGAGTCTGGTCTTGAAAAGTCGCACCGCAGCTTCCGCGTTCGGAGCTCCTGAAGGACTGCCGCCCGAGCGAACCCCACACCCTCGGCTCTTCTGCGAACAACACCCACTACGCCCCACCGACGGCTACCGAGTCGCGGCCCATTGGAGGCGAGGGATCGCGGCCCCAGTGCCGCGCGCCAATGAGCCGCCGATAGTCCGCGCAGCCCTCGATTTTTTGCGCAGGCCGACGGCGTCCTCGGTGGGGCTACGGGTCTCTGGATCCCCCGGGGGCGTGGCTAACGGTCGACAACACCCACCGAGCGATATCGGCCGCTCGGCGCACCACCGCGCGGGACTTATAATCTCGCTACGTGGACGGGCGATACGTTTCTTCTCTCTCTCCTCGCTCGACGTCCCGCATCGGAAGGGGCATCATCCGAAAAATCATTTCTCGCCTTTACCGACGCCTGATTTCCAGCGGATCGAGCGTAAAATGACGGCTGCAACGCGCGCCGCATCCCTGTGCCCTCGCCCCTGCCTGTGTATACGGCGAATGCAGGAAGTCACGGCTGATTTGGCTTTTACGTGCGTGGATGTATTTATGTACGCGGAGAGATTATTACGGAAAGATTCTACTCGAATCCTTTATGGCCTTGGGCTATTGATAAAGACTTTTTTAACGAAGCTCACAATACCGATATAATGGCGAAGCTCTTATGAGTTATGTCGAGCGAGTTGTTCATTAATTTCAATTTTCTGATATGCTCGATCGCGCCAATATACAAAGCGCCTGGATTCGTCGGAGCTAATTGAATTGAAATTTATCGCCGTGAAAAGATTTTTGAAAATTCATCGGTTCGTACTTCCCACTATCGCGTATCCATCCTTATATCATAACATCAATTGCATTTCTCGATCAAACGGTAATTAACTTCACCTATTATCTTCGAGACTTCAATTCATTCGAATATTCCGCGTACTTTGCAATTGTAAGACAACAAAATAGTTTTAAAAAATTCAGCAACTGTATGCTAGACCAATAATATTTTATCAAAATATTTTAGTTTATTATTTCCACAGAAATAACATTAACAATTAACGCACGCCTATGGTAAGTATTGTTTTTTTCTCTTTTCTTTTCTTCTTAAACTATGGATAATTTATTGCTGATATATTATAATTGGAAAATTGATCTTGGCTAATAAATCACAACAAATATTGCGCATGAAAATTTTCCAATATTACAGTAAACTATTCTTTCTACGGATTGTAGTAAGGAGCAGCATATTTCATGCATAACAATGAATTCTTACAATCGGTATTCTTACTCTCTATTCCCTTTCATACAATAACAAGTTATTTTCTTCAACGTTATATAATCCGTTTATCTACAAGGAGAAAGACCGTCAAATGTAACAAAATATACTTAGCCATTATTATTTTATGTACTTTGTAATAATACGATTGATTAGTTGATAATTCAAAAAAAAAAAAAAAAAAAAAAAAAAAAAAAAAAAAAAAAAAAAAAAAAAAAAAAATTAACATGCAAAACTACGATCATAAGACATTAATAGACGCGTGCAGCGAATACTATGGGACAAATATGAAAAATATGATTGAAAATCTTTGCAATATGATATAATTCATTCTTAATCAATCCTTGATAATCTTAAAAATTTTCTTAATCATTAGAACGAAAAGTTATACGTGAGTTTTCGCGTTCTTTCCTTCAAATGATCCTTCAAAGTTCGAGCTAAGACCAAGAAGTTTTATTATTCAAACCTGACTTTCCAAAGGTATAATATTCCATTAACTTAATAATATATAAGCAATATAACACACAATGGGAGTTTGAGTCTTACAAACTTTGTCAAAAAATAGTGTTTATATGTAAAAGGGAATGAGCCGGCAAGATCCAAAAAGAATTCTGATTAACCATCTTAAAACAAAGGCGGAGGAGGGTAGACGAAATCCGATTTCGGTCCCCATTGATTATAGTACTCACGCCAAGACGAGGCTACACTTTGAATCTCACATATAATTTTCAGCGCCTGATATAATGAATCTGCTCTGAGAATATCACACTGTGCGCCCAGCCTTGGGCTCATATTGCAATATAATAGCCGCAATAAATATCATCTTGTTTGACGAACTTTTCAAACTAACGAGAATTATGTGTTTTACATTTTCTTTTCCATGCATTATTCATGTCGGCTTTATTGGCGAAAATTTCGCTTATTGTATGAGAATATGAATTCAATCGATATAGATTGCCCATTTAATAGACTCTAATAGGCTTTTCTTTAAAATTCCAACCCTTTTTATGCTTCGTTCTATTATTAAAATATGTGGGATTCCGATTGCAACGATGATAAACGATGACTTGAAATTATTAATCAACAATAATATATATATATATATATATATATATATATATACACATGCATTTAGTTTTATTTTTATTATTATGTTTTTTATATCCAAAAAAAATTTGCCATACTTCTTTGCAACTTAAAACAACAAATTGTATTCAAAATATATTATTTTTATATTTTTTCTTACATAACGTTACGCCTACACTTATGTATTTATTTATTTTAATTTTATTTATTTATTTATTTTTTTATTATTATTATTTTTGTTTATAAAAATCAGTAAATTAACGAGTTTTCAAAGTCATAGATTTGAGGAGATAACGACAAGGCTCGTGTTTTTAAAATTTGTAACAATCGGTAATATATCGATGGTGAAGGTCCTGGTTAAATGTGCAGAGATAAACAACGAAATCACGATCCACACAACGATCGATATAATCAACCGCTACTGCCAAGCAATTTTAATCGCTGCTACGGGAAGAAAAAAACGCACGAAAAAGCAAAGAGTCGCGAAAAGTATCTTCTCAACGATGTCGATGAAAAAGGAACGCGCGAGCGACGGCCCCGCGGGAAAATGAGAAAAGGGTACGAGCTCGCGCGAAATTCACTTTCTCCCTCTCCCATACATTCTCTCTCTCTCTCTCTCTCTCTCTCTCTCTCTCTCTCTGTCTGTCGTCGTTCACTACGCTCTCTCCCTCTCAATGTTTCTCTTTCGCTCGGCGAAACTCGGCGGTGGAAACGGTAGCTCGATGTATCTCGCGGTAACAAGGGACGCGCGAGTCGCTCTTCGGTATGGGCGGGACGAACCATCAGCTCATTGGTGGACAATCGGGGCTGGGCCGAACCGTGGGTGTACCTTCGCTCGACCAATCGCCTGGTGAGAGATAATTGATTTCACGCTCGAGCGGCACCCTTCTTTCTCCCTCTCTCACTCTGGCAAACAGGCACTTACCAGGGCAACTCGGTACGCGTACGAGCGCCGTAGTTGCGCGAGAGAAGGATAGAGGAGCGCGTCGTAAAGCACATCAAGAGGCTCTTCGTGCCTCGTACGTCATGGCCGCTAATGCGGCGTTCTAACAGAAACTCGCGCCCTCTCCCCTGCCACACCACACCGTAGCCTTTTCCGAAGCCACGCGCCCGCGCGAGTGTGCGCGAGTGCGTCGACGTACGATGGCGGAGCGAGGAAAATACGAACCCTCAGCTACGCGGAAGGAAAGTCGCTGGGTCGGCTCGCAGGATCTCCGCTCCCTCGGGACCTGGGCTACTTTTACACACGGCTTATTACAAATGCCTCGCTAGATGTCCTTTAGGCGGCTAATCGTTAAATTTCAAATTTTTCCAAAAGGATTTACAGCTTCGATGTTTTGAAAAGGAAATTGAAGTCGAGGTCGGGACGACTCTTCTCGACTTCCTCTCTACTATTCAACGCGCGATGACAATTTTCAGTATTACCACTTTGCCGTACGACACATTTTTCTTCCAGAATTGTCAAGAAGCGCAGAATTACGTTTAAGAAATCACAAGCCTTTTGAGGCACTGAAAGAAAATCGTGTAAATAAGCCATTGAAACGAAGCGAATACCGACTTTTCCTTAGATTTCTACTTTCACTTAATTATTGAATAAAGTAGATAAACAAATTGATTTGCACCGCTGGACTTTCGTTTTTATAATTATCCCTTTTAATCGATAATACGATCGATCAAGGCGATAAATACATGCTGGAATTTTCGTAAAATTGAAACATTTACTTATTATTGCACTTAATAGTAATAGTTAACCTAATTGAAGGCATACAATTTGCATTACATTAAAAGCCCCGTTAAATTAAATACAATTACTGACACTTATACACATACAATTAACGAATCATTATATTTATTGGGAACAGGTAATATATTGTTATAAACATTTAGGTTTAAATTCTACGGTACGTTAGAATAATTGTGAT